AATCAGTTTCTGACTTGAACATATATGTCTGAAATACTCCAATATGACAACTTGTCAGCATGCAGCGTGTACTTGTGTAGCTTAGAATAGTTTAACCATGTTTGAGCTGAGCTGTACGTTGGCTAGTGGGCTTGAGCTGCCATGAGTGGAGAAGTGTGAATGAGAGAGAAAGACAAGGACGATGTAGATCCTCACATTCAAGAGGAAGCAACTGCATAGAGTTACATCAAAACCATTTTAAGATATGAAGAGATTACTTTCATGGAAATTTTTTTTTAATGTAACTTCAATGCACAGAGATGAGGTTTTTAGGGTCTAAATCGATGCCCAGATCATTCATTTATATTTTCATGCATTTTGCAATCAATTAATGGACATCCTGCAGCGAATCACAACCAAGTATTCCCCCAGACAGTGGTAAAATAAGACTTCTGTTCCTTTAAGACAATTTCACATCAGACAATCAATCATCCAAGGCTGCAGAACTGGCTGAATGGTGTGAAGTGCTTTTTTTTTTTTTTTTTTACTACAACATGCTTGTTTGAATTCAACCTGAAAACTTTGTAAAAACTTATTTACTTTCCCGTTCACTCAGTTTGTGTCACTGTTAGTTATGCACTATTGATGAAACTTTGATTTGACACTTAGAGTATCGAAAAAGAGTTTTTTACTCAACTTCAAGCACCAGGACGTTAACTCAAGTAACACTAGTGTTTCTTCTTAAAAGATTACACTAAATGCAAATTTGAATATGTGCACGTGTACTACACACACATCTTCAACCTGACAGGATTATCATCACGATTTCAAAGTGTGCACTCTAGATTAGTCTCGCCAATGAAAATATGAAATATGGTCACAAGCTCTCCTATTGTGTTGATCAGAAAAGTTTTTATACAGAACACTATGATGTCAAAGTGAAGTTGACCTTTGACCTTTGTATATTAAATATCATTACTTTACTAATTTACTCTGTTAAACATTTGTGTGAAATTTTGTGATAATGCATGAATTTTTGAGTAATGGTAATAAAAGTGTTTCATGAAGTCAACTTGATGTTCTTGAAGATATTGGGATGAGGGATGGATGGATGCACAGACAGACAGACAACCCGAAAACATAATACTTCTGTTCACAACTGTTGCTGGTGGGGAGTCATGAAAACCAGTATCCCTTCAGGCAGAAATAAAGTGTTGTACCACCTAGGAAACTGCAAGTACTGACCTCTAGTATTTTCATTAAGTGTAGGTCTATTGTAGATCTACTGAACCATCTGTTTTTTTCCAAATAACATCCAACAACACACAGGCCAAAAAAGCAATAGCAAGGCAGAATGTAGTCACCATTTAACCAAACCTGTGTTGAACTGGTTGTCTAGAAATGAGCCCTGCCTGTGTGTGACAGGGTAACTGCACTCAGAAGCGTGCGAAGTGGATGATGTACACTGGGGTCACGAAAGTGTATTTATAAGTGCTGCTAGCTGTTGAAAACTGATGGAAATGGCTCATGAAGAACCACATTTTGTCTTAACACTTTAAAAAAAACATAGGAGACATTCCTTCCAACTGGGCCTTTTGGAAAAATTAAAGTTTGACTCAAGTCATTTTAAGTCTCTAAAATACAAAGGTTAGAGTTTGTCCTATTCTATCATTCATGAACTTCTGCTGCAATATAATATTTCTTTACATCTGTTCTATTATCTTAAAGTAACAATACATTTTGTTCAAAAAAAGTAACAAAAATCCACAGGTAGAAGATGGACAATGACAAGCAGCTGAAGTGTACATAAACTGTCCTATGTGTATTGTCAAATTTTTTACACTTCATAAGACAAGAGTCAACAAATGTGGTTTACATTGGTTTCGTTTTTTGCTGCACTGAAGAAGATAAATATGTTGGAAGTGATTTCCCTGGCTCTTCACTCCCACCACCATCTGTCAGTATGAGAAAGGGGGAACAGAGTCCACCCCATTTGGTGCCAGAAAGCAATTCGGCACATTTCCCATCAAACCTGAACGCTGATCCACAATGTCAAATACTGCACAGAAGTCGAAAGAGGCTGCCATTTTTTCCTTGAGGGACAGTTTGGGAATAGACTGTTAAAGGTAATTACTCTAATGTTTAAAAATTATAATGCATATGGCTATATTTATGACGGCCGGGCATAAGCAAATATATAAAACCTTGTTAAATTTTAGCTTTTTAGATGATTCTTTTGTTAAGAGTGATGCAGAGTGAGACTGTACAGAAGAAAAAAGGCTTGATGTTACAGTCTGCCAGGTTTTTGTTGCTCTTGATCTCTGGATCGACTGGAGACCAGATTTGGCGTATTAAATACACAAGTCAGACACCCCTGCAGAACAGGTCCAGTGCCCTCAATGGCACACAGTCTGCTGTAAACGCTGGACGACACTTAAAAGAGCCTCTGTTAAAGCCAGGTGTCTAGATGATCAGCTTGACCGGTGGGATTGTAAAACCAGAAAATTATCACATTTTGGACCAGTGCAATGGAAATAAAGATATAAAGATAAAGACTACATATATATTGTCCAAAAAAATAACAGATAATGAAAATCAGGAGACTGCAGGAGATCAGCAGCTCAATGATATGTTTCATGAATGATCATCTTTAATATTTCAAACAAAAACCTTCTAAATGTGTCCAAGTTCATTTGCTGATGCAGTGTTTGCGGCTTGAACCCAAACTGTTTCCTAACAAAGCTATTCCAATGAAATAGCCTATAAAAGAGGCTCCACTTACCTCTGAGTATTTCAACAAATGCTGCTGAGTTTATTACTTAAACCTAAAGAGTTGAATGGACATTCTCTTTTCTCTCTGTGCCTACTGTCAGGTTTATCTCAAAAAGCAATGAATGAATTTGCACAAAGCTATGTGAAAGAAAGAAGCTACTTATTTTCCACGAAATCCAGCATTAAATATACATTGACAAACTTGGCTGGTATTAGAGGCAGTGGACATGTGATCTACTTTAAACAAGTGCTATGTTTTGCATAATGCTACCTTCACTTTCTATGTGGCTAAGTATAATGCTAGGACACAAATGAAAGCAACACAAGTAAGTTATAGTTTTTGATCATCTGCCATTAACAGTCAATCAAATTAGTGCATTTTGTTTAACTCTGTGTTTTTAAAGGATACAAAAACTCCAAACTCAAGCACTCTTAAATGATATCCTGTGAACAGAAGCCTACCAGTGGACTCACACTGATTAATACTCTCTGTAGTCTATGCTGTGTATGCACTGTGGCCTTGGTGCAGCACCACTGCCTGTTGGTTTTCTGCTAAAAAAAAAAACAAAAAAAAACTTGACATCCCTGCTACAGCTGAGTAGAGCTCTGTCCATAAACAACGATACACCTTGTATAAAATTGCCACATCTACTGAGACAGAACTAATAGAACCCAGACATGCAAATCAGTGAAAGTGAGTTTGCCTGGTTAAGGTATTTAGATCTCTTTATATGCATTAGGAAAAGAATACTATACATTACTATTAGGCATATAGGGCAAGCACTTCCTAAACTTGATTGTATCTGCTTATATACTCAGCATTTTGGTCAACGGATGTTTTAAGCATCTGGGCATATATGAGCAAGAGTAAAACACAACCTACATACTTTTTAAAAAAGTTTTTATTGATAATTATTTACTCTGATTACTAAAGAAACATAAACAATGCATAATGTGATCTCTGAGAAATCTTGCCAAAAAATCTTCACTTTTGATGATGTCTGCTTTAAATTGTGTGTGTGGTAAATATGCAAAACCATTTTAGGAGTGAAAAACAGACCCAGTAAGCAGAAAACAATGAGGACAGGCAGCAGACAAACTAACTTATTGAATGCATCAACTTTAACTCTCAGATGGCCTCATATTTTGGCAACAATTCCAACTCTCAGACAAAAAGGACAGACAACCTTAGGTAGGCTTTGGTCAATGGCAAGATGTGATCTGCACCATGCTGTACTTCTTACATACTCCACAGTGTCAACCACTCAGCCGTACATTTCCTAAACAAAGATTACACTCAGCTGTTTGACGGAGGAGTGATACACTGACAGCATTTCATCACTCTAACAGCCAGAATGCAAACACACCACAGTCTGTGCCATTGCCGGTGTGCATGCTAGCTCTGATCTGACGTCAAATAATAAGTTACTTTTGGCTCTGACTGTGCAGCCATGACAGAATCAATTAGATCAGCTCAGACTTCCTTGAAGCATTGAGCAGGTAGTGGAGTGGGCCATCATGGTATTGATCAAAGTGAAAGGGTTTCTTGTGAGGTTGGGGTAGAGAGGGGGAGAAAGAGGCTCGCCTGAAGACGTCAGCCCGCCTACAGATCAACACTACAAACTCTTCTACGAGAGGTCAGGGGCTGCACAATGTCCAAGACACACATGTACAGGCATACATACACAACAGTAGTATACACAACTATGCTAGCTTCAGTAGCATCTCAGATTGGAAATGATACGATCACACCTTAAAGCGATCTGAGGGAGCCGGAGAAAGAAGAGAGAGGAGGCTGATGCTTCACTGGCAAAAGCATCCATCTTCTGACATGCTCACTCACATTAACGCAAACATGCACAAGGACACTTGCATTTAACCAGCACATCGTTACACTTATGAAGACTGAAACATATAGACAGAAGGTGATCACATAATCACACGCAGACACATAGTAAGGCTCAGAGTAAGAGAATGCAAGGCAGGCAGTAAGCTCAGCATGACCAGCTAGCTTGTAGTGCCGACCCTCCGTGCTAAAATGGTAGATTCCAGATTTCTCCCAATGCAATCTGCCACCAGCAACCATGGAGGCAAAACAGTAAGAAAAGAGAAGAGGAGGGATGCAGGAACAGAGGAAATCTAGTAATTTCCCTTCCCTCCTCTCCCTCAGATAAAGCACACACAAACATAAAAAGGCACATAAACACAGACAAACACAGAGGAGACAGGAGGATGGTGGTGGTACTTACATGAGGACTCTGTGCCGAACATGGCTGGACCGGGAGCTGTGATGGAGAGAGAGGAGGAGGAGAAGGAGGAAGGAGAGGAGAGAGAAAGGGGAGGGTGAGAGAGAAAGAGAGAGAGGGGAGGTTGATGAGCAGGCAGCTACACAGCGGGGGTCATCAAAGCAACACAATGCAGCCAGCCGGCCGTCGCTGCCTCCCAGACGGCCAGATGCCCCAGCTCCGCTATCCGTTGCTGCTTTAAAAGCCCTCCTCCAAAACGCACACACGCTCAACTAGTCCTGCCGCCAAAAAACAGGAGGCCTTTTGGAGGATTAAATCCAAAACTACATAAACATAAAATAAAAACAAGCAAAAATCCTTCACAGAAACAGCAAGCTGTGATGAAATCCAGACACGGAGATGTGGTTGTGGCTAGCTACTGCATCTCTCTTTCTGCAGTCTATATCCTCCTTGTCATCCTCTCCTCCGTCACTCTCTCACTTCTCATTCCACTGTAGGATTTACTAACAAGAAGAGAGAGGAGAGAGGGAGAGTCTTTCCCGGGGAGATGGGAGAGAAAGGAGGGAGTGAAAAACTGAAAATCTGGTGAGGGGCTGCTGCCACTGCTGCTGCAGCCACTGTAAGACAATAGCTATGCAAACAGCGAGTGACGTCAGGACAGAGGGGGGAGAGAGAGAGGGAGAGAGAGAGAGAGAGAGAGAGCTGTAAAAAGACTGACTGACAACTGCTGCTAGATGGAGAGAGGGAGGAAGGCAAGGAGGAAGAGGGGGAAAGAAGGGAAAAAAGGTGGGAGAAACATGAGCGAATGGGAGAAGGAGATGGAGAAACAGGGAGTGCATGAGCAGAGAAGGAGAGATGGATAGGCAGAAGCAAAACGGGGGCAAAGATAGGGAGAAGGAGAACTAGAAAAGGAGGGAAATGTGAGACAGGGGAGAGGAGGTGGGGTGTAAAAAGAAAGAAGTAAATTAAAGCAAAAGTGATTAAAAAAAAGAGGGAAGGAAAGAAAAGGAGACTTAGGGAGGGCAAGACAGAGAGGAGGGTGAAAAGATAAAGAGGTACTAAGGGGGAGGAGAAAGGCAGCTAACGCTGAGGGTGGGGGGCACTGGAGAAAAAGAGTGGGAAGCAGGCCAGTCAAAATGGTCTGTCTACTTTGGAGCTAAAAAAAAAAAAAAAAAAGCCAAGGATACAGCAGGACACACACACATACACACACGTGCACACACATGGCCAGCAGGGAGCCAGACAACATATTTTCTACTGCCATCACACAATATCATCAATCAAACCTGAAGTGAAGGTTAAAATACTGTATCAAAAGATATGGAATCCTAATCACATTGACTCATCTAGTCCTTGCTCTGGGATACCGTTCACATTTTTATTCAATAGTCAACGCCATACAGTTGCATATTAAAAAGATTAGAAAGCAAAAAAGGGTGACCTGCCACTGTTTGACAGTGACTAATCCTTCACATCCCTTAAATCTAACTCCTAAGCAAACCAAGTCTACAGCAGAGTATGTTAGATATATTTCCTTTGTCCTCAGAAGGACAAAGTATGTAATCATTTCCTCAACTATTTATTCTTCTCCTCTGTTTGCATAATCCAGTATGTACATGTTTCAAACAGAACCCCAAATCTGCATTATATAGCAAAAGCCCACCCCTGGCTGGTTCATACAGGAAACGCGAATTAAGACTTCTAAATCTACATGATTCAAGTTTTTCTTCCTCTTACAAGACGCATGGAGACATTATAGTGCTTACAGTGAACTGGTGGCAATTGGTGAGTGTCATTATTGAGGTGTCTCGTAAAACTTTACAGATGGATCTGGTGTGCCTCTAAATGTAATAAATTGTATGTGTAATACAGCAACTGTGCAGCAGTGAGACACACTGAGCCTGTTTTGAGCAATTGAATGTGTACAGTAGTAAGTCTGTACAACAGGCTGCTAACCTAAATAAGTAGACGGGCGGTCAGCCGGACATTCTCATGGCCCCCACCATGAATGGGGTGAAGCTAGCTAGCATGTGGATTAGCTCAGCTGCTGAACAGAAGAGCATGTACTGATGGAGGCCTGTGTTCTTTTGTGTCTCATACACCCTCCTCCTCCTCCTCCTTCTCCTCCTCCTCCTCCTCCTCTCCCCATGTCTTTGTCCTTGAAGCACAAGCTTGAGACCCCTTCTCTACTCCTGTTACCCTGCAAAAAATATTTCTTTGACGCAGTACTGAGTACATTCTTTTTTAATAAGAAAAACTTTTCTTTTCCATGTTTTGATACTGCATATCCATTTGTAGAAATGTTTACAAAATGTGGTATATATTATATTCAATATGCTCCAGCTTTTTTGATACAGATAAAGTGATATTTCTTCGCTCCTACACTTTATCTACATTTGTTCCTGGGCAAAATTGCTTGAACCAAGGAAACTGAATTAAAAGGAAATTGAATCATCTGACTCAGTTGCCACTTTATGAGAGTTACAATTTTTGCAGCAGATTTGTTAAGACATCTCCTGGGATCATGCCAACTGCACTTAGGGGCTCTCTCTCCAACAGCCAATTGAAAAGTACACTAACATCTGTTAACACATTCCATATTCTCATTCCTGGGCTTGGTCGACCCAAGACAGGGCAAACATTGTTGACATGCTGTAAGTCTCTTTCTTATCACCATTACCTCCAGTATTTGACCATCTGAAAAAAACTATTTTACTCTTTGGCTTTTATGTTTCCTCCTTGACATTATTCCTAATGGTCACAAGGGAAGTATCTATGCTAGGGATGCAAATTTTAAACAATATTAACTGCAGTATCATCAATAAATAATCAATGAATCTTTATGGTAATTAAGTACAACAGACATTGTTCCAGGAGCTGACTCTTTTTTTTTTTTTTTTAGAACTATATGTGATTTTCCTGTCATACCTATAATCAATTGTCACCATCTGCCTGGTTACACCGGTCAAACAGCGCTAGGAACATTGTCCTAACAAAGTAAGGCTTGCCTTGAAATCATGTGCTCTGGACGCAAACCATTGACAGCAACAAAAGTCTCTGTCATGGTGCGCTGTTGCTAACTAAACCTCCACAATGCTCTCTGGTCACCAACACAGAACTGTCTGTAATCCAAATGTTGACCACCACTTTTAATAAAGGGAAAGCACTGATCTGTTTTCTGTTTTAACCAACAGATGTCACTGGTGAGCTTTCCAACCAATATATATGTCTAACCCAAGTGCCCCACTATAACTGCAGTTTTAAGAACATCTGATAAAAGTACATTTCTGTGGGGTGCAGGACAACTTGAATTCAGCAAAGGGCCGAGCTATCGAAATGGAAACCCTGAATTCAGTGTGCTTTCCTCTTATGCCAGCTTTTCACAATTTTGCTCCCTGATCAGTAATAGTATGATCTGAAGTGCTATGGTGCCCCTATAATAATAATCACAGGGGCTAAACAAGCTATGAGTAGTTTCTCCCAGTGGGTTGCAAAATCCAGCTAAACAAATATCAGGTTTTCTCATTACTAGTAACTGAATAAATACACCAGACCAATGCACGAAAATCTGTTGTTCTATGTTTGTACTGGCACTTAGTACCTGTCAACACAGCTTCTGCCAAAACATCACGTTTCACTGAGAAAACATATGCAGTAAGAACCAGTGCTCAGAGCTGTTTCAAATAATTTAAATCATAAATTTTAAGCCAGAGTAAGCACCCACACAGCATTTTGAAAGCGGTCTTCTTCTAAGGTAACCTAATTCAGTAACTGAAAAACATAACTGGTTATCTGAAATGGGAGTGTGGTTCCCCATTTCAGAGGTTTGGAAATATAAGGCAACCGTACACTTTTGACTAGCATTGGGGCAATGCTTCTACACAGGTTTTGCAGTTACATTTTTCAATTGTCAGAACAGAAATGCTGTTATTTTCAACTCAGTTGTGGGTGACCCAATAGCCAAGCAGGTAGGGTGCATTTTCAGACATGCACCCTGTTCTGTTAATCTGAGGGCAACTGAACATGGTTGTGTCATATCTAAAAACACATCCTGGTCACTTTTCCATAAAAGTTGCACCGGCAATATTACTAGGTCAGACCGAGCAAGATTTCTGCAGTCTAAGCTGCTCCACCACAATAAAGGATAGACACACACAAGCAGCAGTACTTGGAGCTGTGTGAAGTGACGTTTCACATTTCAGTACCAATACTCTTCCAAAAACACTGCAGATTGCAAAAGTCATTGCAATATCAAACACATCTTTCTCATTGACTTTACAATTGTAAATCTATTAGGCTAAAAACTAAAATGTTCATTATAATAAAGCTTGCCTGTGATAAAAACAGACAGGGAAGTATGTTTGAATGAAACATTGAGAAACATTAACAGAAAAGTGACAGCAACATTCATTCCTAATGAAGTGACAGCATCTTAATGAATGCTGTCACTTCAAAGAATTGATGAAGCCAGCAGTGGTCCAAATCTTATGTCTGTAAAGGGCTGTAAGTGCGAAATCACTGAGCAGAGAGTCCCTGGTTCAATTCCTGGATGTCATTCCCTTACTCTACATCCCTAAACCTAATGTCTCTCTGCACTACCACTATGATATAAATGCTTTCTCTTAAATCAAAGTGTGTTGGAGTCACATGTGGCCTATCGGTTATACACCCTGGCATCCGGGTCCCATTCTCTCTGCCACAAAGACAATTAGCATGCAAATCCACTGCAACAGCAGCAGTGAAGTCCAGGTAAATAGGGGTGCTAATTGAGTCAGACACTGAGTAATGGAACAATACTGTTCCTTCAATGAATGCTTAACTTAAAACAGTGCTCCTCACCACCTCTATTCAGTGGCGCTGCATTCATGAGCCATTTATTCCTGAACAATGCACACCTCACCCCGCCCCCGCTTCCATCACAAAGTACCACCCCGAAAAAGCATCTCCTCCCGGTTGCTAAGCAACTGAAAATAAGCGTGAGGAGTGTGGCCATCCTTCAGCAAAAGGAAAAATAAGGAAAAGCATAAAGAAGGATAGTC